ATGGGGGCCCGACCTATCTCCTCTGAGAGCACATGGCAGAGGAGCTCCGAGGCCCAACCCACTGGGTCTGGTACTCGGCTGAGGTGCCCGGCTCCTGGAGGGGAAGGCCAGGGCATGACCTGAACCCCAATGTTCCATCTGCTGCCTGTGTGAATGAGTGAGTGATTTTAACCTCTCCGGGCCTCAGTCTCTTCATCTGAGCCAGGGGAGGAAGACGGGTACCTGACCCGGAGGTCTTTGGGTAAGGAATAATGGAATATAAAATGCGGTGCGTACTTGAGAATGGAGAGGTCGTCCAGTGGTTAGAGTACTTGCCTGGCCTGCAGCTGACCCAGATTCAATCCCCAGGACTTCGTAGGATCCCCTGAGCCCCACCAGGAGTAAAATCCCTGCCTACAGAGCCAGGGGTAAGCCCTGAGCACTGCCAGGTGAGACCTAAAATGAAAAATAACAAAACAAAATGCTCTGTATACTCATGTAAATTTGTAGAAATGCCTGGGACCTATTAAGAACTTAGCATTAGTTTTTTTTTTCCTTACTTTTTGGGTCACACTGGCAATGCTCAGAGGTTAGTCCTGGCTCTGCACTCAGGAATTACTCCTGGTGGTGCTCAGGGGACCATATAGGATGGCGGGGACCGAACCCAGGTCTGCCATGTGTAACCCGGGTCTGCCATGTGCCCTACCAGCTGTACTATCGCTGCGGCCCCGTGTTATTAATGGTATTGTTTTTACTTTCATTCACTTCAGGGGCTGGAACTGTGCTCGGGAACCATTTCTGGCAGGGCTCGGCATATCACATGGAGTGCTGGGGTTAGAACCAGCATCACTGGGAGTAAGGTAAGCACCTTAACCCCTGTCCTCTCTCTCCAGTTCAAGATGAAATCTTATTGGGGTTGGCAGGAGAGCATGCCTAGCTGTGCTCAGGGATCACTTCTGGTGCTCGAGAGACACTGCGTGGTGTCAGGGATTGACCCAGGCTGCACCTTGCCAGCTGTCTTAACAATCTCTCCAGCAGGGAATCACTAAGTCAATGATGGTTGGAGGAATCATTTGGGATGGGAGATGTGTGCTGAAAGTAGATAAAGGACCGAACATGATAACCTCTCAGTATCTATATAGCAAACCATAATGCCCCAAAGTAGAGAGAGAGTAAGAGGGAACGTGTCTGCAATGGATGCAGAGGGAGGGTTGGAAAGTTGGGGGTAATACTGAGGACATTGGTGGTGGAGACTGTACCCTGGTGGAGGGATGGGTGTTCGATCATTATATGAACTGATGAAAGCTTTGTAACTATGTCACGGTGATTCAATAAAAAAGAAAAATAATAATAAAAAAATATCTCTAGTCTCCCTGGGTTTTTTTGTTTGTTTGTTTGTTTGTTTTGTTTTGTTTTTTGTTTGTTTTATTTTGTTTTGCTTTTTGGGTCACACCCTGTGATGCTCAGGGGTTACTCCTGGCTCATGAACTCAGAAATTACTCCTGGTGGTGCTCGGGGGACCCTATGGGATGCTGGGAATCGAACCCAGGTTGGCTGTGTGCAAGGCACACACCCTACCCGCTGTGCTATCGCTCCAGCCCCTCACTGTCTTAATGATTTGGCGTGTGACCCAGAGCCAAAGGTTTCCCTTCCTCGTCTGCACCATGGAAAGAACAATCCCTATATCCACGGACCGGCCCAAATTCCCTGGGAGGGTTTATAAGGTGCCCAGCACAGGATCACACGCAAAAAAGTACTCAGGACCCTCCCCCTATCCCAGAGAAGGAGTTTCCCCTTCCTGGGCGCTCTCTTTTTTTTCTTTTTGGCTTTTGGGGTCACACCTGGCGATGCACACGGGTTACTTCTGGCTCTGCACTCAGGAATTACCCCTGGTGGTGCTCAGGGGACCATATGGGATGCTGGGAATCGAACCCAGGTTGCCCGCGTGCAAAGCAAATGCCCTACCCGCTTTGCTATTGCTCCAGTCCCACCTGAGTGCCCTCTCTACACCTTGTAGCAGCCCTATACAGGCGAGCTGCTCTCTGTGTCTATGCACACCTCCCTCTCCCAGCTGCCTTGGGTTCCGACTGACCAGGGTACCAGCTCCGTCCAGCAGAGCATCTGCAAACATGCCCACCCCAGCAGATTCCGCGGTGGTGGGGGAGGGGGAGACTGGCGGGTGGGGAGAGTTTCTCCATCTCACACCCACACACATGATTCAGCCACAGAGATTTGTGGCGGAGAGCCTGCAGCCTGCAGTCACTTGGCCCCCCCTGCCCAGCTGAGCCCAGGGCTGATTCCGGAAGGAATAAAAAAAAAAAGCACAGGAGACCCGGGGACAAGATTAGGGCAGGGGAGATCCGGGGTCAGGGTGGAAGAGAAGGGAAGCCCAGCCCACTAGCAACTTGCAGAAGAGGCCAGCAGGGAGGAATCGGAGCCAATCCAGAAGAGAGATGTAAACACTGATTGGAAGCTTCCCTGAGCCTCTGCCCCACATCCTGGGAATTAAGTGGAAGCAGGCGTTGGTGATCAGGCAAACAGCATGAGTCACGGCTCTGTCACTATCTCCTTAACCTTCTGGCTTCCTCTCTTCTGGCCTCGGGTTTCTCCAGTGAAACGTGGGGAGGACCATCGGGGCTGCCCCCGCAGGACAGGAAAGCAGAGGCCTGGAGCGTCGTTCACAGGGACGGGATCCCCGACAAGCTCTGTGCTCAGGGGCCCCCTAAGTCAAGGGGCGTTCCGTGGAAGGTGATCGATGTACTCTCTGCAGGACAGCCCGTCCCAGCCCTTATTAGCCCATGACACACCTTAGGGAACATAATAGACTCTCTGGGGGCTCCACCTCCAGGTTGAGGCCGATGCCAACTCTCCATCAATGCACGCCTACCCCTCCTGCCCGCTCACACCCATGCTCATGCACGCACGCACGCACACACGCATGCATGCGCTCATCCGGCTCACGCTCCTCGAAGGCAGAAACCCACTGGCATGATTTTGATAACGCTGCTCAGAGAGGGCCGCGGGAGACGTGTGTATGCCCTGAGCTTTCCATCATATTTTCTTTGTGTGTTTGCGACGGGTGGTGGAGGGTGTGTTTTGGGACCATCCCTGGCCGTGGGTGACCAGAGGCTATTCTGGGTGCTTGCTCTGCACTCAGGAGGGACAGGCAACCGTGCTTGTGGAATTCTCTGTGCAGCTGAGGATTTGAATGGGGGTCAGCTGCGTGCAAAGCAAGGCCTCTTTGTGTTTTCTGGGGGGCCTCACCCTGCTGTCCTCCTGGCTCTGCATTCAAGGGTCTCTTGGCAGGCTCGGGGGACCTTATGGGGTGCCAGGAATTGAACCTGGGTCAATGGCACGCAAGACAAGTGCCCTCCCCGCTTACAGTATTACTCGTAAATGCCTTAACCACTATGCTCTCTTTCTGGCCCCTCATCCTGTTTTTTTTTTTATTTATTTCTAGCCAAACCCCAGAAATCAGTGCTCAGGGCTTACTCTTGGCTTTGTGCTCAGGGATCACTCCTGGCAGGGCTTAGGGGAGCTTACGGGGGTACCGAAGTTTAAACCCAGGATGGGTGCATGCATCTGTAGAATCTCCTGCACTTTTTTTTTTCTTTTCAGTCTTTGGGTCACACCTTGCAGTGCTCAGAGTTTAATCGTGGCTCTGTGCTCAGGGATCACTCCTGGAGGGGCTCTGCGGACTGTATGGGATGCCGGGGATCGAACCCGCGTGCAAGGCAAGCATCTTACCTACTGTATTATAACCCTGACCCCTCAGTAGTGTTCTTCATTTCAATACCCAGCAAGTAGCTGGACTTTCCATGAGGACTGTCTGCATTAGAGAGGCCCATTTGCCACCCGTGTGGGGCCTGCAAATGTTCCTGGGGCATCTGGAGTCAGTTCACATGATAGGTGTGTGTGTGTGTGTGTGTGTGTGTGTGTGTGTGTGTGTGTGTGTGTGTCTACTCTGGCTCCTGACTCCTCTCTTCTGCCCGGTTCCCACTCACTCTGACTTTCCAAGCAAACCTTGGCAAGAAGCAGAGGCATTGGAACCCAAAATCTCAGGCCACACCCTCACACTTCACAGCCAGGGACCTGGAGAGGAATGGGGTCACCTGGCTCATGCAGGGGGCAGCAGTTGACCAGGGCTGCCTTTGTTTCTGTCTCTCTCTCTCTCTCTCTTTTTTTTTTCTTTTTGGGTCACACCCAGTGACGCTCAGTGCTGACTCCTGGCTCGGAACTCAGGAATCATTCCTGGCAGTGCTCGGGGGACCATATGGGATCCTGGGAATCAAACCCAGGTCAGCATGCAAGGTAAACGCCCTCCCTGCTGTGCTATTGTTCCATCCCCCATGTCTCTCTCTTTTGTTTTTTTGTCCTGGGAACACCCCCACACAGTGCTCAGACTTTCCTCCCCGACTCTGTGCTCAAGGAATCACTCCTGGCAGGACTCAGGAAGACCCTCAGGATTCGAACTAAGGTCGGCCGCGTGCAAGGCCAGCACTTTACTGGCTATTCTATGGCTCCGACCGGCTTTCTTTTATCTCTTCTCCTGCTAGAGCCAGCCCGAGCCTCAAGGCTCAGGGATGTCACCTGCTCTTCACTTTGCCTATATCCTCTGGAATAGGGACCAGACGGGATGCCAGGGCTCGAACCCAGCATGCGAGGCAAGCATCTTACCTGCTATCCTATCCCTCTGGCCCATCTCCCTGAGTCCTTTAGGAATTTACCAGCATTCAGACCTCAGGCACTCCCTCCCACAGGAAGAAGGGAAAGGAAGAGACCCAGGCCCCTAGGAGCCTCAGGCAGCTAGGAAGAAGTTACTGATCAGAACAACAATTTAGGCTCCCATCTGGCCCCAAGGAGTGGGGGATGGGGTCCCTTTGGGTCTTGGGGGCAAAAACAAAACCAACTGGACTCTCCTCATAGCCCTGGGCCTGCAGTTCTATTTCTATTGCACCCTCTGTCCCAACCCTCCACCCCCAGCGGGCCGGGAGCCCCTGGCCTGGCCGGGCCCGGCTGACCTGTACGGGTTGAGGGTGCAGACAGTGACGGCCGGGAAGACCAGCTTGTCGGAGTTGAGGTTGATGTTGAGGTTCACGGGGTAGCTGAAGTACTCCCCGAACAGCAGGCCGAACTGCCAGTACATCATGCCGAAGGCGCTGAGCCAGAGCACAGCCCAGAAGGCCGTCTTCATGCGGTTGTGCTTGGAGCACACCAGGCGGATGGCGCCGTGGATGGTGGTGTTATTGCAGAAGAACTGGAAGAGCTCCCGGTAGGAGCGGTGGAACTCGATCAGGGCCTCCTCATCCTCCGTGCGCTGCTGGGGGGCCGCGGCGGGGCTGGGGCCCAGCCCCAGCTCCTCGGGTTTGTCGCCCTTCATGAGATCTGGGGGTGGGGGGCAAGGTGAGGGCTGAGGACTGACCCCTGCGGCCCCCCGTTGGGCATCCCCTTCTCCCCAGGGCTTCGTTGCTTCTGTCTGCACCCGGGAAACCCCACCCCGGTCCGCTTTGCTCTGCCAGCCTCTGTCCAGCAGGGGGCCAGCAGCAGTGCTGAGCTGGATCCCCCCAGGGCCTGTCCTCTGCCTCTCCCAGACCACCCCCCTTGGGGTCTCGCTCACTCTACCCAGTCAAGTGTCACTCTGATCTTCCTCCTCCAGGAAGTTATTAGCTTCTCTCTCTCTCTCTCTCTCTCTCTCTCTCTCTCTCTCTCTCTCTCTCTCTCTCTCTCTCTGCCTCTCCTCTCCTCTGTCCCTCTCGGCTCTCTGTCCCTCTCTGTCTCTCTATCTCTCTCCTTCTCCTAATCTCTCTCTGTCCCTCTCTCTCCTCTCGTTCCCTCTCTCTCTCCCCCACTCCTCTCTTTCTCTCTTCTCTCTCCTCTCTTTCCTTCCCTCCTCTCTCTATCTCTCTCTGTCTCTCTCTGTCTCTGTGTCTTGTCTCTGTCTCCCTCTCTCCCTCCCTCTTTCCGTGTCTCTCCTCTCTGTCTTTCCTCTCTCCGATCTGTGCGGGGAGGTGAAGGGGGCCTTTCTCTCTACCTGTCTGTCCTCTGTCCCACCTTCTCCCTCTTTCTCTGTCTTTGTGTGTTTCTTAGCTGCACTCAGATCTCTTTTCCTCAGTGTGTATGTGTGTGTGAGTGTGTGTGCATGCATGTGTGTGTGTGTGTGACTGTTTCTCTCTTAGCTGTGCTCTCTTGCCCTCTCTGGGTCTATCTGGGTACGCCTGTCTCTCTTAGCTGTGCCGGTGCTCTCTTGTCGGTCTCTGTCTCTGTCTCTGTTTGTCTCTATCTGTCTCTGTCTCATCTGTCTCTGTCTCATCTGTTTCTCTCTCTCTCTCTCTCTCTCTCTCTCTCTCTCTCTCTCTCTCTCTCTCTCTCTCTCTCTCTGTGTTTTCTCTCTTTCACCCGCGCCGGCAGGCTCTCCCAGTTCTCCGGCTCCCTTTACCTACGCCCGTCTCCCTCATATGCACTGGCGCTGGCCGTCTGTCTGTCCAGCTGTGTGTGTCTGTCCGTCTCTCTCTCTCCTCTCCCTGGGCTCTGTCCTCCCTTACCTGCCTGCGCTGGCTGCCAGGCGCTCCGATCCGGCCTCTCTCCCTCCTGCGCCCGCCTCTCGGCGCTCACCTGCCTCTGGCCGTGGCCCGGGGCGTTGTCCCGGCTCTCCGCCCCCGCCCGTCCCCCGTGCCCCGGGTCCCCCGATCGCGGGGCTGGGAGGTCGGGCGGCCTCCGGGTCCCGCTCCCGGGCTGTGCCGGCCCGGGCCTGGTTGGGTTCCAGTTGAATCTGGCCTCTCCACCCCCTCACCTGACAGGTGCGACCGCGGGGCCCGGCCCGCCCGCGCGGGGAGCCGACAGCTCATTAGCATCTCAATTAAAGGCCAGTGGCGGGGTGCGGCAGAGGAGGAGCCGGGAGGGAGCTTCAGGGCGGAGAGCTTGGGGCTCCCGGGACCGGAGTGTCCCCAGCACCCCGAGAAGGGATGGGGAGCTGGGGAGGGGGGCCCAGCTCCGAGCCGCGGTCGTGGTTGAGGGCCGGGGGCCAGGGGGACCCCAGAGGTCAGGCCGGATTGATTGCGGGTCTGGGAAGAGAGAAAAGGGGACCCTGGGAGAGGGAGAGGGGAGCAGGTCCGGGAGGGAAGGCTGGAGGAGGGGCGCAGGGGTGAAGTTCTGCGAACCTCATGGGAGATTCCCTGGCAGTGAGGGGGTCCCCTCCCCAGGGGCCCTCCAGGGGCCTGGCCAGCCTTGGAGGAGCAGGGAGAGCCAGCCTGGCCTTGGAGGTGACCCCCCCACCTCTTCCGCCTCTTCCCTCCCGACTCCCCACCACCAGCGGGGCCAGGGAGGGGCCCAGGTGAAGCCGGGGGCCGGGCGGGGCCGGGACATTCTGTTCCTTTTGCCCGCCAGCTGCCAGGCCTGGAATGTGTAATGTCCCCCGTGTGGTCACGGGGTTATAGGAATGTGGGCACCGAGAGCAGCACAAGGCCACAATGGGCACTTGGGACAGACCCAGAGCCCAGGGAGCCACAGGACAGCAGGAAGGAGGAAGGGAGGGAAAGAGGGAGGGAGGGATGGAGGGAGGGAAGAAGGAAGGGAAGGAGGGACGGAAGGAGGGAGGGAGGGAAAAGAAAAGAAGAAAGAAAGGGAGAGAGGAAAGGTAAATGAGAGAAGGAAAGGGAAGAACAAAGGGAAGGAAGGAAAAGAAAAGGAAAGAGAAGAAGAGAAGGGAGGAAGCAAAGAAAGGAGGGATGGAAGGAAGGGAAAGGAGGGAAGGAAGGAAAATCAGAGAAGAAAGGGAGGGAGGAAAGGAGAGTGAAGGAAGGAAGGGAAGGAACAAAGGGAAGAAAGGCAAAGAGAGAAGGAAGGAAAAAGGAGGGAGGGAAAAAAGGGTGGGAGGGAAGGAAGAGAGGGAGGGAGGGAGGGGGAGGGAGGGAGGGAGGGAGGGGAGAAGGGGAAGGAAGGAAGGAAGGAAGGAAGGAAGGAAGGAAGGAAGGAAGGAAGGAAAAGCTGCATGAGGGAGAGAAGGAGGGCGGGAGGAAGGAAAGCTTGACAAGGGCTGTTTCTTCTTCCCAAACTGAGCCAGCAAGGGACTAAAGAGGGCAGAGAGAGAAAAGTGCAGGCCAGGAGAGCGAAGGGGCAGAGGACCCGCCACGCTGGCCCCCAGCCCGCAGACTGCGCCCCCACCACGTACAGCCTGCCTGGGTACAGGTAGACCAGGAGATGAGCAGGGCCGCAGTCAGGGAGATGAGGATTCCAGTGAGAGTCAGGAGCCTGGGAGCAGGGAGGAAGGGGAAGAGGGGGGAGGGGGAATTGCAGAGAGGAGGGAAGGAAACAGTCCCCACCCCAAGAGACTGGAAAACTCAGGCACGCTGGCAGCCCCTTGGGTCTTGGAGAACAGGGGGTTTCCCAAGCCAAGAAGAGGGAGGAGGACCCCGAGATGACCAGGCCATCAACTCGCCCCCCTGACTGTCTCTGAGGCCTCTTAAAGGGAGAGCTGGGGGCTGCAGAGGGGGTTTAAGTGGAGGAGCGTGTGCTTCACATGTATGAGGCCAGATCCCCAGCTCTGCACAGCCCATGACACACTGTCGGCTTTGGCTGGTTCCCAGCACCCCCAGATATGGCTCGAACAGTTTTTTTTGAAGGGGGGGGGGGCTATACCAAGTGTGCTGAGGGTTTGCTCCTAGCTCTGTGCTCAGGATACTCAGGAATCCCTCCTGGCCAGCTTAGGAGACCGCGTGGGATGCCACGGTCTGTTGCGTGCACGGCAAACGCCCTACCTGCTGCCCTATCGCTCTGGCACTAACATTTCTTTTGCAGAGAGAGAGAGAAAGAGAGAGAGAGAGAGAGAGAGAGAGAGAGAGAGAGAGAGAGCTGGTATCAGCCAGGATTCCTGCTCTGGGTCCTTTTTCTCCTTCCCTCCCTTTGGTGAGCGCAGCTCCCTGGGCAAGACTGTTTCTTCATTTTCCTGCTGAAACCACACACACACACACACACACACACACACACTCACATCTCCCCCTACAAAGATATCCTGCTGAAATCACACACACACACACACACACACACACACATGCACACATATCTCCCCCTGCAAAGATATCCTGCTGAAACCACACACACACACACACACACACACCTCCCCCTGCAAAGATATCCTGCTGAAACCACACACACACACACACACACACACACACACACACACCTCCCTCTGCAAAGATATCCTGCTGAAACCACACACACACGCACACACACACACACACACACACACACGCACCCCTCCCCCTGCAGAGATATGCCAGTTTTCTGAGAACACAAAACAAGCCAGCAACAAAGTGGGAATGGGAATTGAGAACTTTTCTCTCCCTCCTGGACGGCCTCGTTAGAGCATTTGACTCCCAAGACAGCAACCACAGATCATTGGGAATGAGGGTTCCCCTGCACCCAGGTTTAAAAGTCTTAGAGTCCAGGCCTGGAGAGATAGTACAGAGGGGTAGGGCACTAGCTTTGCACACAGCCAACCCAGGTTTGATCCCCAGCACCCAGAAGGAGCCTTGAGCACCACCAGGAATGATTCCTGAGCACAGAGCCAGCAGTAACCCCTGAGCACTGCAGGCCCCAAATGGGAAAAAAGAGAAAAATCTCAAGTCCATGGATTGATTCTCGGCAATCTGGGTCCTGAATCCTCTCCCAGTCCTGAGGAAAACTCCCCATTCCTCCGTCATCCCTAAACCAGGGGCCATCCAAATGTAAGGGTGATCCTCTCTGCTGTGAGCTGTCACCCCAAGGGGATGACGCTTTGATCTCCAAGATCTGAGAGGCATGTTGGACCCCCCCCCCCAGGCACCTGAGGGCGTTGCTGGGTGTCCAGCCTGTGTCCCTGGGGCAGCGGCTGCCCAGAGGCTGCAGAAAGAACCAGAGCAATCTGGCTGCAGTGACAACACCAGGAACCTGATACCTGCCCCTTGTCACGGCACCATTGTCACACCATTGTTGCCTCAAGTGCAGAAATAACACCTGGACATGCTTGGGGCTTACACAACAGAAGGACCACACAGAAGGACGCAGGGGACAGGGAAACCTCCCTTTGTCCTGTCCCTATCCCTGTCCCAAGCTGAGCAGCTGCAATCTGGGTCCATCCACATCCCTGGGTGCCGTAGTGTTTGTTGTATGTTTTGCTTCCTTTTGACTTGGGTCCACACCTGGCATGGCTCAGGGCTGACCCAGGCGGAGTTCAGGGAATTGAACCCGGGCTCACTATGTGCCTTACCCGCTGTACCATCTCTTGAGCCCCTTTGAGGGCATTTATAGACTTATGGTTTTTTTGGGAAGTTGGGGGTGGGGTGCTCCTGGAAGTATGTCGACCCCGTGGTGCTCAGCTAAGTTCCGTTCTGCCAGGAATGGAACCCAGGTCTCTTATCTGCAAGGCCTGAACTTCACAACAGAGCCACAGCCCACCCTTATTGCTTTTGTTTATTTTGCTTTGTGGGGGGTGGAGGGGAGTTACCTAGTGGGACTCGGGACTGTTCTTAGCTCAGTGCGCAGGCCATTTCTAGCAGTGCTCAGGAGTTGCTCAAGAGCAGTGCTCTGGAGCCATGCACTGGCTGGAATCAAACAGGAAAAGGGGGTCCAGCAGGTAAAGGATGTGCTCCAGCCCTTTGAACCATCACCGCCAGCCCCTCCATGCATTAAAACAA